CAGGGAAAGCAAACGCAAGGATATTTAGTCGTTACAAATTACCATGCAAATCCATGAAAAAGAAAATCGAGTTTTAACCCTCCTTAAAAGTAACACTTTCCATTGAGTTTTTGCTAAGCGTTTTCGAAACAGTACTGTAAATAAGCAAATTTTAATCCATTTCTGATAAAGAATCTTTGAATCTCGTCATTTAACGAGGTTTGTTCGCCGATGGCCGCACTTTTAAACCCAAGATTTTCATTAGCCTATATCATCCAACTAAAAATTTTAAATAAAACCCCATATTTTTACTTTCCATGCATGATGATATCATCCAACACTGTGTCTGCATCAATGTTAAACGCACTTAATAAAAAAAAATATTCCAAATCATAAAAATTCCTTCATCACCTAAACACTGTCGATAGTTCCTACTACACTAAACGACTGTCATAGAATATGAAACAAAAGTATGGAACGCCACAGCTGTCTTAAGGGTATAAAATATGCATCATAGTGTCAATTCGATATAACATTAAGGCTATCCTTTATATCATTAAGTCCACATTATATAATATGTAGTCTTTTCTTTATATCAGTAATCCCACTTTATATATTATGTAGTCTATTCTTCATATCATTAAGTCCACTTTATATAATATGTCGTCAATTCTTCATATCATTAAGTCCGCTTTATATAATAAGCAGTCTATTCTTAATATCATTAAGTCCGCTTTATATATTATGTAGTCTATTCTTAATACATGTATTATTAAGTTCACTTTATATAATACGTAGTCTATTCTTTATATCATTAGGTCCGCTTTATATATTATGTAGGCTATTCTTTATATCATTAAGTCCACTTTATATATTATGTAGTCTATTCTTTATATCATTAAGTCCACTTTATATATTATGTCGTCTACTATTTATATCATTAAATCCGCTTAATATATTATGTAGTCTATTCTATATATCATTAAGTCCACTTTATATAATACGTAGTCTTTTCTTTATATCATTAAGTCTGCTTTATATTATATGTAGTACAGAAGCTTTACTATGCTGACAAATCAATGTACTACAAGGTCAGATGCAAGCAGCCAATAAGAAAATTCATCAAAGGACTAGTAGTACTCTGATGCAATAATGTATTTATGCTTAATTTAGACAATTGATTAATAATACTTAGACAATTAATGATAGACTTAATTATTTAATTAAACAAATACTCGAAAGCAGTTAAGATCACCTGCATTAGTTTTAAAACAAAAAAAAATGAAAAAGAATTTTTATCATCTTTGACCACTAAAGAAAAAACAAACAGTTTGGAATAGTTGACTTCCGGGAGAATTCCTTTTAAGCTCTTTGACGGGTCTCAGGAACATCACAGGCCCAGTTAGCTAACCTGAAAATTGCTTACTCCTAGTATTGAAAACTGAAGGTAAGCTATTACTCAGCTTAATTCTCGTTGACTGGTTATTGGTACAAAGGTGCCATACGACTATTATATACGGCAGTTTGAGGTTGTAGTGGTACCATCAAGTGGTGACAAGGGCGGGTACATGTTTCAAGCAGCTATTGAACCTCTAGTCTTTGAAGTGTGTTTTTCATTATTGCTGGGAGTTTCTTACCTAGCGTTGGTTTGCAATATTATTCAAAGACGGTGGAGAAAAAAGGTGCTTGAAACAACAATTGGTGGAAACCCTACAGCTCCAACTGAAGAGCGGGAATGGATAACCCTATAGCCCCTAATTCTGCCATAATAATTGTTTTTTCATGCACACTTCGAGGGAAAAGGGGTAATAAGCGAAATTTAAAGATGTGCGTATTTGGCGTGTGATATACAGGAATCATTTGTACTAAACATTTATATATAGTTTAAATGTCCACGATTTCACTGACCAAAGCTGGACACACTTTACAGAGTAACAACCATAGGAAAAAATGTTAAATTTAGATTGAAATATCTTTTTAAAATGTTATATTTAAGTCCGCTTATCTTTAAAATTACTAAGACATAGTAACGCTTCCCAAAAATAAGCAACACTTATCAGACAATATGGGATATTTTTAAAATGCAATTTTAAGTACATGTGCATATCAAAATTTCAGTAGGATGGAAGGATTGCTTTCGCTTTCAGTAGAATGGGACCGAAATTCATCCATTTAAAAATATAAATCAGTACATAAAATTAAATTGCTAAAAGAATGGAATGATTGTATTTATTTTGAAATCTCAATGCACCAGCATGCGAGGGTCGAACCAAAAATTTTCTTTTCCATTGCACTGGTCGGGTAACGCAGCTTCTAAGCCACCATCGCTACACACAATGTGGATCTTAAAAGGACAATGAAGCACCGCAGTTACACATTGGAATTTTGTGGGGGAAAGTTCATTTTTTGTAGTCCCTGTGTCTTCTCTCCATTTTTTAACAAATGTTTGTTTCTTGGAATTAAAATACACACAAATAACGATTCAAATTCATGGGGAGATGACCCAGAGATAGAAAATTTTTAGAAAGACGTGTTTAAAAATTGTAACATTTGGTACCAAATTTCTCATCTAGCCACTTTTCAAGTTATCTTTTAGCAAATCAAAACAAAACATCGAGAAAATATTTCCCTTTCCTATTTCACAGGAACCCGATACATCATAAGAATGTTAAAATTTCATGTGACAGATCAATGAAATTTTCACTTTTCAAGTGTGCCCAGATTCCTGCCGAATACCAATCAAAAGCGCCCTCGTTCTTTCTGGGAAAATGAACATGAAAAAGAATATTCTATCAGTATATTTCCCCTTCAAGTATTTGTCTTATTAAGTAATTAAGTGTTGCATTGATTCTTTAAGTATTAATTATTAATTGACAAAAAATATTCCACCTGAGTACTCTCAGTCCTTTGATGAATTTCTTAGTGGCTGTTGTTATTGGCTGCTAACTTCAATCTTGTATTTTGACTGGATGCTATATGCATCGACTTTATAGTACATTGATTTGTCAGCATGGTATAGCATATAAAGTGGACTTAATGATATAAAGAATAGACTACATAATATATAAAGTGGACTTAATGATATAAAGAATAGACTACATATTATATAAAGTGGACTTAATGATATGAAGAATAGACTGCATAATATATAAAGTGGACTTAATGATATAAGGAAAAGCCTACATATTATATAAAATGGACTTAATGATATAAAGGATAGACTTAATGTTATATCGAATTGACACTATGATGCATATTTTGTACCCTTAAGACAGCTGTGGCGTTCCATACAAAAGAGTTCACTCACTGTTTTTACTGTCTAAAGAAAGAAACCGCTTTCTCTTTTCTTTTGTTTACGTATTATAGGGTTTCAGGTTAAAAACAACTATTTATGCCTAAATTCCTATTGTGTTATTGTCAGACTCCTCCAGGTAACTTTTGGACATTCAAATGGCAATGTTTTAAGTAAGATATATGCCTCATACAATTCTATATGTAAAATTATCAGACTGTTTTCGGCCCTAACGGGCCTCAAACAGTCTGATAATTTTACATATAGAACAGTATTCGGCATATATCCTTTACTTAATATTGTTGATTTAATTACGGAAATCTTTCTACGTTCCCCCTACGATCCAAATATCACTTGAAAAATGACATCTGTATTACAAGTAGATTGCTCATCATATCTGAATTTGATTTGTATCAGAAATATGCTTTCCCCCTCGGACGAAGACATGCTTTCAACATTGACAATCACAAGAAAATGATTTCGGAATCTCATAGCATTGTGGTTAAATATTCTTAATTCGTTTATTTAAAATTAGCACTTACCTGTAACTGTCCACTAAGTTAACAATTACAATGAATGTAAGTTTCTTTTGATTGTCAGCAACCTTTACCTGAGACAGTCCAATAAGTAGACAATGCTTATTTAATACAATGAATGAGAAACAATTCTAAGAGAGTACATTATGAACACAATACAGTAAATGTTATAAGTAGGTTATAGGCCTCAAACTGTCCATTCTGTGAGAAGAAAAAACTATTGTCGGGCCTAACGGTCCTCCAACAGTTCTATCTTCTCAGAAAAAGGACAGTTTTTAGCCTATAACCTTTACTTTTTACTTGTTTCCAACAATCCTCCAAAAGATATATCAGTCTGTTTTTACTGCAATTGTCAATCTACATGATCCATTGTGGAATACCGATCCCGATGTATGTTCATAGTATTTAAATATCAGTTTGTGTAGTAAATGATTATCATACAGTTTCAAAGTACAGTATCATGAGCTCATTAACATGTATAAATGCTATTTATCAAAACTCTGCCTTTCAAAATTCAAATATTATAAGTTAAATTAAACTGCCCGGGGTATTTTTTGTAAAGTAGGTTAAAGGTCAAGGTCAAATGGAAAATAATGCTTGTATTTTTCAGAGTGTTTAATGACAAACAGTGCACATGCTGAATAGCATAGACTTACAATAGAGTGTACCTCTTAAATGTCAAAAATATGCTGTATATCGGCACTATGAACTATTTGAAAAGTAGATCAAAAGTCAAGGTCAAGGGTCACGAGGTCGGTAACCATGGTAATTTACAAAAAGCCATAGTGCTAAACAATATATGTGCAAAATATCAAATCCTTTGTGGGATTTTTCTCCCGTTACATTCAAGGTAAACAACAAACTCAAAGCGATAAATATGGACCTCATTTTTTTGTTGTATAAAATTCTGACTGATAGTAACGAATAAATACAGTCTTACATCTTGATACAATACACTTTAACAAGAGTTGAACATTTATTTACTTTTCCAAAGGAAAATGCAAAATAAATGCTTTGAAACATTTATGAAAATTTATTCGTTAATATATTAAACTTTATTTATAAACGAATGTAGAAGGAGTACTGGATTTGCTATTTTTGGTGAAGGGGATTTTTGTCGCCCACTCCTATTAATAACCCAGTTCCACGAAATGTAAATAACAATGAGCCCAACTTAAAATTAAAGTCAAGTTTCATGGGATCCGAACGTAAAAAACGTAAGTAAACACTAATCAAGATATATCTTTCAAGATTACACTGTGGTGATATTTATAGACTTCCGTTTAGTGATATTAAACATTTTAATTTTTATACACGATGATTATTACAAATTTTCTATTATTAACAAAAGTTTATTATTATTAATCAATGATGTAAAATTTTTGCCGCTGTAAATAATGTATTTGGGGGGGGGGGGGGGGGGGGGATAACAGTGAAATATTACATTGATTCAAGAATAATTCAAATTGTTATAGTTCATTTCTCAAATTCGAGTTTTTCCGTTATTACAAGGAAATATAACTGGTAAATTCAAATATTCTTTCCCAAGTTGTAATCACTCGTGTTGACTTTAAGAGATGTCAGTGCTATTAATCTGTATCATAGTTAAACATTAATAAAGTATCAATATAAAATATCAAATATATACAATATCAAAGTGACATATAAGTATGCTTATTGTGGAAATATTTGTTAGGGAAAGAACATATGTCCTATTCAGAAGGCAAGATAAAATAGGATTGCGTAAACATTAATATTTTATTTTCCTAACAAAAAATGACACTCAATTGTAGTAAAAAAAAAATGCTACTAAATTCTTTCTTATCTTTCAAATATTTTACTTCCTTTTTGACACTGTAAACAAAATACGTTTTAAAATACAATGCTGAATTACCATTAGCTTGCATTTGTTATCTCTTTTTATTACTATAAACTAGGCTAGGTACTTAAACCACTTAAGATAAATCAACAAATGTTTATGCATAAAGGCGACATGTTATAAGTACGACCCACTTTTTTTGAACGAATGCCAGTTAAGTATTGTGACTTAGAGTTTAATTTCTGAGAGACAAAAACTTGACGTTTACGGAAGATTGAAGGACAATTGCAGCTATTAGAGCCTTCAGCGGGTACACGAGTCCGAGAGAACCTGCTGTATCGTTAACCAGGACAAACTATGTGGAACAAGTATGATCAGGATCGTATGCACTGTTGATCGGGTGATTTAAACCCCGGAATGTATTTTGTTTGAAAAAATTGTCATTAAAACGCCGACCTCGAGAATTGGATATAGGAAGTTTCAGTAAACATTTGTGTCACATGACTCCCAGATAAAAAGTGAATGTGGTTACTCGGGGGGTGCACTGAGGAGGGTGGATGATCAAATGAGAAGGATTACGAATGATAGAGGTTACCAAAACAGGAAAAACATTGTATTTCAAGATCACTGCATTTAACTTCCGGCTTATTTTACAGCAATGTTACAATACTATGAAATGGATGAATAAGTGAAAATATATTCATTGTCAGGAGAAACTGATTTTTTGTATCAACCTGCAGATCACAGTTGATAGTTTACAATCTCTGGTGAATCTTCAGTAATCGACTGTGACACTTTGCAGTTCTACTACTCTATAAATTTTTGAAGTTGGAGACAGCGGTTACCTCCCCATTAGTACAGTAAGTATCTGTGCACTCAGACAGGCTGTTATCTTATCTTCCGTGCAGACCACGGTTGACAGACATTGGTTATTTGGAGTAAGGGCCACTTCGCTGGAGAATGCAGAACCTTTGTACAGTCTAATGGACAGACCATCTAAAATAAGTATGTTATCGTCACACATTTTTGTTGTACTAACGGATAAGATGAGGGAGTAGTCACATTTTGAAGGGAGAATTATGAAGGAGGAAGAAAGCTGTTTATTTATGTCCAGATGCACTTAAAAGGAGACAACAAGATTTGTAAAATTTGTTAATTTAACAAAAAGATACAACAAAATCAACAACAGAAAACGTGTTTAGAGAATAATTACGTTATCAGCGACCCCGCTGTATGTAAATCATTGTACGATCCTGATAAGGGAAGGATGTACTTGACAGTGTTTGTTGTTTGGTTTGATATGGAGATTTACATCTACTTTTTAATTACAATAGTTAGATAGCCACTAGATAAATGAAAAGAGGAGAACGAATAATATACCTCTCATGTGTCATACTGTGATAAAAATTAAAAGGTAGTTCCCCGATACAGTAAAAGTCCGTCATGGCAGAACACTTTTAAAGTATATCTGATAAAAATATCTTGTGTCTACTTCATGCAAATTCGAAAGGTAATCTTGTCTCTTTGATTTGAAGGTATGCTGCATCAGGTGGAACTGAACAGCCTCGACGTATCGAACCTGTTGTGGGATATGCAGAAAACATGTGTGACAAATGAGGACATTGAAGTACTGTGGGAAATCAAAAATGTCTGGCTGGTTCGGAACAAGGATCTCGAGGAGAGATACGAAAGGAAACGAAAATTAATGAAAAATTTGGTATAAACAAGTCTTTAATACCGTTCCTGACTCTGTATGTATTAAAAAGTATGTTATGGCTGCAATGTCTTACTCGGTCATTTTTTTTTTCTTTTGTAGAAAAGGTCGGAAGAGCAGATACAAGATGATTTACTTTTTATGGCAGAAGGATGGAACAACGTTCACAAAATTTGCAAGTATGGTCCACGTTGTCAGGAAAAAAAGAACAATGTGCTTGGGGACACACAATATGGAATTCACATGAATAGGCACTATGATATCTTAACACGATTCATGGCATTCAAGAACTTCCAACAAGCGAACTACATAGTAGTTCTAAGGGTAAAATTAAAACTCTGCAGTCACTGTCTTGTTTTTTTTTTTTTCATTTTCCCCTATTTCCATGTACATGTTCAATAAAAGTCTTCTTGTTGATTTACAGGCAATGCTTGGGCGCATAAAGAAAGTGAAACCTTTCCTAACAGGGGAATACGGCTGTATAGCACCAACTCCAAATTATGACTCGCATATAGCAGAGGATGAGCCTGACTTAACAAGCATTGACATCTGCGACGCTATTGCGTACAACTTTGTGAGTAAACTGATCGAATATATTTATTGTCAAGGTGAAATCGCTGTTGAATTTTTTCTGTGTACCTTCATTTTTATGGCTATGGTTGTTTTTAGGTATATATGTATGAATACGACGAAGAAACCATTCTTCCAATGGCATATCCTTCACATGTACTCCCCATTGCAGTTATTCAGCTGTATCGAACCAGAAACAGACTAGTTCGTCCATTAAAATACACAAGGGAAAGAGATCTTGTAAATAGCAAAAATGTCCAACGTCTTACTAATGAAACAAAGCCTTTAAAACATTTGCCAAAAGCAGCACCATACAAAAAGTATGTAGTGGAAGGTAGACGTTCCGGGACAAAACTTATCTCAGATGTGCCAATCGAACCTCCATCCAAAAATCCACCATCAGAAACAACAAAAAGACTAGAAAAATTCCGAAGAGCTTCAACTATGTCAGGAGGAACGGGCATGGCACATCTGTTTTACAAGCTGCCTTTTAACAAAATGCCTCTCTCGTGGCAGCGAAAGTTTAGTTTCAAAAAAAGACCAAAATACAGACTGTACTCAAAGGGGACATACAGAAAACGTTCAAGGTCAAGATCATCAAGTAAAGAATCAGATAAAAGTCGAGAATTACAATCCAGAAGTCCAACACCACCCAAATCACTTTCACGAGAAAAGAATTTGTTTGAAATTTTTGATAAGTCAAATGAACATGTTTCATCCCAGTTGAAAGAGCAGAATATAACATCAGTGAACAGTGACAAAGGAAGCAATAAAACAGGAAGTCGACCTATCAGTGGCAACAATACACCAACACAAGATGAACTATATTGTAATGACGTAAATGTGTTTCCAAAGATCGAGGTTTGTACGGATTCCGCGTCAGATACCACAGATAAACTAGAAACTCCAAAGATATGTTTAGAACATAAAAATAGCAATCGGGGACCAGAGGATAACAACTGGATGAGATCTAATGAGTTTACAAGTTGCTTTACACCAGAGAGCACAACATCTATGAATGAATCGCAACAGAAGGACACAATGAAAGGAATTTCATCATCAACAAAATGTAAAAAATCATCCACTTTGCAAAATGCTTCAAAAGAAACAAGTTATCAGCTCATCAGGATAACAACTGACGAGCCAGATACTCAGAGTATTTATCATGAATTGAGAGGAATCAAATTACCAATTTGTGACAAAAAGGCAGTGAAAGACCCAAGACTACTGCGTGCTATGGGTTGTATCATAGAGAGTCCTGTAATGGCTGGCTTTGGACCATTTCTACGTCGAATCAAAGAGGAACCACCTGATGATCATAGTTATGAAAAAGATTCAGTGAAGAAAATGAAAAATATTCTTCCTATTCAATCTATTAAAAAGGAACCAGAACTTGAGCAAAACGAAGATGACGTTGAGAAAGTGTTGAAAGAACTGGATAATGCTATTAAAGCTATTCAGAATGAAAAAGATCCAGAAAGTACAAAGCCAACAGAAGATAAAAAAAATAATAATTTGGAAAATTGTAAAAATAGTACAACAGGTGATACAGAGGTGAAAAAACAGAACACTCCTGAGAATGATAAAGAACTAGAAAAGGATGAATTCCATCCAAGAAACATGGGGTTTTCCTCTTATCTTCCAGAATACAGTGACAGTAGTGACTTTGAGAGGACAGCACGTGTTTTAACTGAAGTGTTTTCTGATAAGGCATCGTCACCAACTAAAAAGTTACCCATGAGTATGTCAGACTATTTTGGCACCAGTAATCCAAATGTTTCTCTCAGTTCAACAAAGACAAATATTGAACACAAACTGTCGGATATCAATTCAGATTGTGAAACTACCAGAGCAGTAGAAATTACAAAGAGAAATCAGGAAAATGACAGTGATAACACCTGTAAATCGAAAGTATCTACAGAGGTCAAATCTGAAACCGACTGTCTTGAATCCAGAACGGAAAGAAAACACGCCAAAAATGAAGCTTCCTCTGCCTCAAGAATGGTCCATCTTAACGAATCAGAAAATGATAACTCAAGTTCTGATTGTAAATTAGAAACAAATACCGACAGAGAACTCAGCAAAGAGAGAAGCAGATCAAGATCTCTTCATTCTTCACACAAAACCAGAAGTCGAAGTAGATCAGTGTCCAACTCTAAAACGCACAAAAGAAAATTAAAAAGAAAGCGAAGCAGGTCTAATTCTCTTAGTAAGATCGAAAGAGGTCGGGTTAAGACTAAATCATCACATTCAAAAAAGAAAAAACAGAAAAAACACAAATCCAGACGTTCTCCCTCATGTGAGAAAAAGCGTAGTAGAAGCAAATCATTATCGATTGTTTCTGGAGAATGGAAAGAACCCATAAGCTTATCAAGTCGTAGTCGTTCAAGATCAAGCAGTTCTAAAAGAAGTCTTACAGGGAAAAAACATGACCTTTCCAACAGCAATGCTAAAGATGGCGATGAAAACAAAACAGATTGGAAGTCCCGAGCTGAAGTAATACGGGCTCGGGAAAACTCACCTGGACGCTTACTGTATCTTGAACAAAGAAGAAAGCTTGACATATCGAAACGTTTGATTGCAAAAGCAAAACGTCAAAAAGAGGAAGGAATTGCAAAGAGATGTGACAATGGAATTGATGTAATGGATATTCATTACCAGAAAGTGTTGAAAAAATCACGGCATCTTTCTAAAACTTTTGACTCCCTGGATGACCACAGGAGTTCTTTCGTTGAGGATTCAAGAGAGGCGGAGTTTTCAGAGAGGAGAGGTACAACAACAAGCGACGAATCTGTTGTAAATTCAACGTTATCAAAAGCCATGACAAGTTTACTGAAGAAAATTGTATTTAGAGATAATTGTAATCAAGATAACAGTGCGGAAGGCAGAATGGCGGATATGGTAATAGAATTGGTGAAAGACCAGATGAGTAAGGAGTTACAGTCTTCGATAGTTTCTACAGCTGGTTCATCCACATCTACAATGCAGAATCAATCAGTACATCCATTTGTGCCATACTTAAAACAAACAAGGGGCATGGAGGAGCTATATGGCGCCAATCCATGGAATGCTTCAACAAACATCGATAGAAGATCCACTCTCAGTGGATTTCCTGATAAATACATGGAACATACATATCAGAGTAAAGAGGCAGATGACAATCGAAGTTTGACCTCTTATTTTCATTCAAAAAGACGACCATATACATCGAGAAATCGCTTCAACTTCTCTCACCAAGAGCACTTGGGTGACTCTAATCGAAGTTCTTTTAGAGGAAAGTTGTATCATAAAGTAATGGAGAAAACACGAGGATCAACCTACAGAGGAAGGTTGAATTCTTCACGTGGGTTTCATCATCAGAAAGCATGGCGAGGAAGCTACAAGTCAAGAGGCAGAGGAAATTCGAGTTACTCCAGTTCATCCAACTTCCGTGGGTGTAAAGATAAGGACAGTAACGAGAAAAGATAAAAACGGTTGTGATCTCAAGACGAGCATCTTATTGTACTTCCATACATCCTATATATGCATAACCATATAAAACTAATCATTAGTAGACATAAGGAATTTGATTTCTAACCAGATATTCATAGCGTTACAGAGTAAATATTATTAATTAAAGTAAAATATAAGTTTGTTGCAATGTATTCAGTTTTCATAGCGGGGTATATCTTTTCGTTGTATTTGTTAAAACTCGTTTGACTTAAATAAAGAATGCTAGGCAAACCGCTAGAATTGACAAAGTAGAACCACGCGAATACAAATTTCAAATCCTGACAATCAGTGCATCCCAGAATGGTAAAGTTTTTTCATGTTTTATAAATGCATGTGTCATTCTGCAAATATACTTGTGATCAACTAATGTTTCAAGAGAGAATTTTTGGTTTCCACAATGTCGTTAAGATAAGTCTTTAGTTGTGTTTGTTTTAAAAGAAGGATTATTGTCACCGGACATCACACAGACAAAACATTTGAAATGAATGATTTGCAATAAAAATGTTGACGTGAGAGTTCTTTTTATTTTAAACTGAGTGCGTTTTAGCAGTCTTACTGAAACACTTGATAAACAGTCACACACACACAACTAAGCGTTGTATTTTGCAATAAATTATATGTATGAAAACGGATATTTACACATATTTAAGTTAAGATTAATAAATTTAATTTTTAATGAAAATTCTTAAAGTTCTAGCGTCACTGGGCATTTGTTCTAGTAGTCAGCTTTAAGTCACCTCCGTCACATTTCAGCCTGAATCTTAACTCACCTGAGATGACAGCTCAAGTGAGCTTTTCTGATCACATTTTGTCTGGTGTCTTAAGATTTAAAAAAGTTTTCCTGTGAAGACTCCCGTCTTAAATTTTAATGTCCTGTGTTGACCGGAATCTTCTTAAGAACAATAAGGCAATGATTAGTCATACTTATCTGGTAGCATTCTCAGGAGATGTATATTCAAGTTTCTTTTGAGTCATGGTCGGTCCACAAGGGTAGGGTAGGACCACAGTTTGGATAAATGTTTTACATAAAAATGTATAGAAAAATCTTTAAAATCTTCTCAAGAATAATTAGACCTGATAAGTCTTATTTATATGGAAGTATCCTCTGGTTGTTTAGGGTTTCAGGTTTGTTCAAGTGATGACTTCATGAGATAGGGTTTGTTCAAGTCATGTCCCCAGGGGTAGAGTAAGGCCACAATAGGGGATAAAATTTTACATACAAATATATAATAAAATATCTTTTAAAATTCGTCTTAAGAAGAAATATATTGAGATAACGAACAGTATTCAAGCTCAGAAGTCCAATAAACAATACAAATTTTGGAGTAGACCAAACATAGTTCTCTAAAACATCAGAGGTGGGATCAAGTGCCATGGAGAAGTGAGCATACCCTGTCGACCGGTCACATCCGCCGTGTGCTCCTTGTAATGATCTGAAAATTACGGGAAAAATCCGTCGACAATTCAGTGTGTAAATAATGCCCTAACAATAAGTATGAATAACGTCAGTCAGCATTTGACTAAATGATAAATTTTATTTGGTCATTGTATCGACCATAGAACTTACGGAAGGTATATTGCTGCATAAGTAAGGGAAGTTAACGTTTGAAAAGTTAAAGTCACCACGTTTATCGTAAGGCTTGGTTGTTAGATTACCATTAACGTCTTTTTCAAGTAAAATATCCAAATATGAAACAGACGTGTCAGACTCTGTGGTATCTTTTATCTCAAACTCACCGGGATATATCGTATCGACACAAGAATGGAAATATCCATTGTTATTCGACAATAAGTCGTCGATATATCTAAATGTCGAGTTGAAGGCCACAGCAAGTGTTTTCTTCTTTTCACGTACAAGATTTTAGACAAATTCTGCTTCATATGAATACAAAAAAGGTCTGCTAATAACGGGGCGCAATTGGTACCCATGGGAATTCCAATAGATTGTTGGAAGACCTGGTCTCCAAAAACCACATAGATATTGTCAATCAGAAACTCGAGCATCTTTTTTAAGTCAACTTCAGAGTACTTGTGTGTACAATCAGAATGTTTTTTTAAAGAAGGATTTTGCAAATGACCAATGACTAGGTAAGTAAATTTACGAGTTCCATTTTTATTGAAAAAGCAGCAGTCAATGATATCAAAAAGCCTTGACTTTAATTTATCGTGGGGAATGGTTGTGTATAAAGTTGAAAAGTCGTAAGTTTTTAAGCTGTTGAATTTGGTAAAATCTTGTGATTTCAAATTTTCCAAAAGTTCCTTGGAATTTTTAAGTATCCACATTTGATCTACACCACTTTTCGAATTTATTGTTCACAGCACTCTTGAAGTTTCTCCTTCACTACTGTTTATATTTTAGTGAGGAGTAAAGAAAGAGGCTTCGTAGAAAATTTACTGGAACCCGCTATGTATCTTTGTGTAAGTAATACCAAACATATTCAAAACTGACATATGATTTTGAAGAATGTCTTCTATAAGTTGCATTACCATTGTAGAATTAAATCCCAGTTAATCTAAAATACATTTCAAATAATGAGCCTTACAAATGAAATGTTTGGAGATAACGAACAGTATTCAAGCCCAAAAGTCCATTAAACAAAACAAATTTTGGAGCAGAGCAAACACGGACTTCTAAAACATTAGAGGTGGGTTCAGGTGCCATGGAGGAGTAAGCATCCTCTGCCGGAAATAATATAACGGGAAAATCCGTCGACAATTCAGTGTGTAAATAATGGCCTAACAATAAGTATGAATAACGTCATTCAGCATTTGACTAAATGATAAATTGTATTTGCTGATAAGGTCATTGTATCGACCATAGAACTTACAAAATGACGACTTTAAACGAGACTGCTGATATCCTTGTTTCATCAACTTGTTTGTTAATAACTTACCTCGTTTTAAAAAATGTTCTTACGTAGAGCATGCTTTTGCGTATCGAAATATAAACCCCGTATGCAGGTGATAAAGGTATATTGCTGCATGCATAAGTAAGGGAAGTTGACGATTGAAAAGTTAACGTTGCATAATGAGTCAAAACTATGTGTTTCTTTTAAGAAAATTATATCACAAAACAAAAGACTTCTGTGAAACATGAATATAACGAAGTTTTGACAACTCAACTGCACTGTAAAGCAAGAAAAAAACTGCAAAATATAAGTGCCGGAAAAACAAATGTTGTATCTATCACTTTGGTTTTATCGTCAATGTCAACAATGTCAAGGTCACGCGTCCTTTATATTTAGCGTGAAACTTGTAAACAACATTGAAATGGGGCAATCAGAAGTACGGAATAAGTTATGATAATCTTTTTTTTGAAGATTGTATCAAAATTCTCAGTCATCCGACATTTATATCTATGGAATTGAAACCATGGTAAATTCTTCAACTTTTCAGCGCATGCGTACAATAAAGAGGAAGAAGTGAAGCAATATTTTTGTGATGGGTTATACAAAGATTTTTTTTTACTTTTATTTTTCTCAATTAAATTAGATTTTTTAGGTTCTGAAACCTGTAATTTTCTGAAACCTAATATCTTCAAGAACTGAACAAAATTTGCGTGTGTCATGCAAAAATTCTACTGTTGTCACTTTTCCCGTTTGTCCGTCACAGTGTCACTTTAAAATCATTACGTTTATCATAAAGTTTTGTTGTAGGATTACCATTAACGTCTTTTTCTAGTAAAATATCCAAACAAAAACAATGTTGTTACCTGCTTTGTCAGCAGAGACCAGTACATACTGATCGTGTAATCTATTTAATTCTTTTTTCACTTCTGATTTATTGAACACAGGAGGATAGTTGGTTTTCATTTTGCCCCTCAATCGCATAGTGCGAGATTTTAACATACATCTGATACATTTAATTCATTCTGACTACGGTCTTTTTTTCATGTCTGGCCCATCGCCTGGCGTAATCTTCCACAGAATCCATAATATTTATGTAATTATGACGCAGTTAAAAGATCGGGGTTCTCTAAATTTTGGCCCTTTTAAAATTAATGATTTAAGGTCCTCATTATTAATTATATTTACGTCACCAGTAATAACGTGTCCAGCAGGATTATAATTGTTGGGTGACGAAGAACATGAACAGGAAAGAGTATTATGTTTCTGATGCTCTGTAAAGTTTTCTTGTAATTAAAAAGTTTGGAAGCATAGTCGATGTATATTTGTAGGAAATACAAGGTGTAGTCTTCAACATGAAATATGGTGGAATACAAGACTGTACCCTTTTGTCTTTGAGGGGAAAACGGTTTCTTTTAGCTGCATTTTCTTCTGTGAAACGCGGCGGTTTAAAAAGCCGATGATTTGCAATATCCATAACCACTGATCCGAGCCTGTATTCTGGTGTCAAGGAATCAAAAACTGGACTTTCCTTGACCTTTTCAAGTAGACTAATTAAAAGTTTCAAAGGGACAAATTAAAGTTTGGTGCGAATATGATGAAGACCTGACTGTTGATTTACATAAGGTAGTAATGAATCAAAAGAGACATCGTGTATTAAAGGTTTATTGTAAGACCGATGCCCATGACTACGCTTACGTCTCTGTGTATGGTTAAAAAGCCCCATCACATTTACATTGTTACACTGTGGACTGGAAAGATTCCCAACACTATCGACATTGTCTTTGCATCCATAGGGAAAGGTCGTGTCTAGTTTTTTAATCCAATATTCTTCTCGTTGCCTCGTTAAGGTGTACTCTGTGATGGACTGTTTGTATGATGGTAAATCTTTTCTAGAATTCTATCATTGACAAAATAGAACGATGAGGGAAATAAAAATGCTGTTTAGAAGCTGCTGGCCCCATTGTTAATTTGAAATTTATGTCCTGATATTCTTTTATAAGTGAACCCTTGGTTTCACCAACATAAACAAGTCCACAAAGATTACATTCTATTCAACAGAAGATTTGCAGTTCAGATTTTCCTAAGTTTTGGTATAGAAGCTCTGTCCAGTAAGATTACTAGTAAAAGAAGTGTTAGTTATCAAAATGTCACAGGTTGTTGAGTTTTTCGCAGAACATTTTGAAATAGAAGACATGGGATTGGAAAAGGAATCTTCAAATATATTTCTAATAGAAACTTTACATTCTTTCAATTCTTTATATGAACTATTGGTTTTATACCAAAACTGTGAATCTGAAGACTGCACATATAACATATGTTTAATATCCCTGAGGATTATCCGAGGAGCACCGAATGAACTCCTGGAGTCTGTGTCCCTTACAGACTCAAAAGAGTGACGCCTTTTTATACTGGGCGACGCGTCTGCCAGTATCATTTCGTTATTCTGTGTACATGTACTCATGAATGAATAGGTGCCGAACGACAAGTAACCTTGGGGACAGACTGTCCACCAGCAGAGATACATGTTCAGCGATTAAAAAGAAATATTTGGAGATAACAAACAGTATTCAATTTCGAAAGTTCAATGAAACGATACGAATTTGGAGCAGAGCAAACACGGACCTCAAAATTAAGAGGTGGGATCAGGTACGATTGAGGAGTGAGCA